TGTATAATATACTTATGACATACCCTTGTCCCAATTAATTCTTGTGCATTTCGCGATAAAACATTTTTTTTATATTAAAAAATATATATTATAAAGTATCAAAATATTAACACCGTAAATAAAATTGCCTATACATAGTGAATTAATTTTTCCACATATAAAACAAGCAAGTCTGCTCTATATATTCTTAATAGTAAATTTAACTCATTGACTTGATTGCAGTAACAAACTTTGTACTAATGTTTTCGTTTAATAACTTTATTAAACCCTATCAACATAATTTCTTGTGTATTTGTCAAAATGTCGCTTACCGGGTTAAACAGAATAGAACAGAACATTATTTTATTTTGACTTATACCACGGATTTATATTACATGTAATATAAATCCGTGCTTGTACATAGTACATAATCACAATCATACATAGTGTGATAATACATTGATAGAAATGCATAAACAATTAAAACAATACATTACTAATTTTCAATGAATTAAAACAGACTTTAAAGACAATGTCACGTTACTTTAGTAATTATTCTAGAATGTTATATCAAATTAACAAAAATTTATATTATAGTGTTGAGGATAAACTGTTTTAAACATAATTAAATATACATGTTTACATAGCAGACATATCATCAGAAAAAATCTATACATAAACAGATGTTTTTAAGGCTTCAAAATTCAACACCTACTTGATGTCATGCGCTTACAGAAGGGGGGGGGGGGTAACCAGACCTAGTTCTGTTATTTTGACATATGACATTAAAAGAGGGAAATTGACCAACAACAAAAAGAACATTTAAAATAAACTATAGCTCAGTTTATAAGTAAATAACAGGATATTTTTCAGTGGATATATATGTTTGAAGATACCGAAAACGGTTTTAAACGTAAAAAGTTTTGTTATAGTTTAACTGATAAGAACCAATTCTGTCTTTTGAGAAGACAGATTTATTAAACATCGTTTCACACTTTAAGACAACTTCTTTTCTTTTTCAAATCAACCAAAAAATTAACAAGGTTTTATTACAGAAATTAAGGTCGTTACCCTTTATATCATTTAATGAAGTCTCCTCGCATGTACAAATATAATACACCAAAATCCATGTCCAATACAACCCAAATACAAACCACTTTATTTTAAATTGTCATAGATTACATAATATACATTTAACATGTTTCAGGCAATAACGCGTGAAAGGAATGCAACATAGATATTTAGTATGGGTAACATCTTGATCATAAATAGTCTAATTAATTATATGTATTTTTGTTTTTAGTATTTATGTATTCGAGGTGGAAAGCGGACTATATTTGAAGCATTTATTTAAAAGTGGTAAAAAATAATCGTTTAAATCAATCTGTTGGAGCGGATTGTTAATTAGTAATAATGGCATATAATCGAAAACTGTTACGAAAATTGTTGCGTAAATATGTTATAGCCATCTATTAATTACACTAATTGTCGCAATCTCTGTGGGCGGAGTATTAGTTAATTATCGAGAATTAGCCAATCAATTAGCATGTGTGCGTTACCAAATTATATTACCGTAACAATTTATTGGTCATTTGAAAGCTTTCTAGTAATATAGTAATATCTATCTATGTCTAAAGTGAAATTTCCAAATATCAGAGATACTAAAATCAATTTTGTAGCAGACAGGGAAGTGTCATTAACTAAAGCAGTGTAGAAAAATTTCCCGAAAGCGTCAGTATTTCATTGTTGGAATCAATGCATTCAGGAAAAAGTAGGCTTTTTATGTTGTAAATTTTTTATTTCTAGACAGAAGTTGACGTTTTTTTTCCATTCTAATAGATTTCTTTAATTATATTTTTGTTACCTTTCTAACTTTTCATGTGCAATTTTTTTTGAAATACATTATCTCACATTTTTTCTTTTTATAAAGTTAGGAACAGAACAGAACAGAAATTTTATTTCGTAACGTATACAATACAGTATCTTGTTACATTACATATATCAAATATTATAAATAGATAAACACATGATATAATTCAAAGATTTACAGTATATTGGAGAATGAACATATATTGCTGCGAAAAAATTGATTTTGTATTAAATAAATGTATATCAGAATAATCTCATTTTTAATATCAGAATAATCTCATTTTAATATTAAAATTACTAGCGAAATCTAAACGTTTACAATATCTATGAAAATAATAACAACATTTTAACATTACATTTATGTATAACCTAAGCTTATCAACATATCTTTTCTTTTACTATTTGCAAAATAAATAAATTTACATAAATTTAATAATATAGACTTTTCACATGACTGAAGTAATTCTATGAATTTAAACATGCTAGGTTTTTTATAATAATATCTTTTAATGAATGTAGTGCGTATTTCCTGGTACAAATTACAAACAAGTATAAAATGAAATTCGTCTTCAATATCTTGTGTATAACAAAGTTGACATATGCGCTCATGTCTTTCAAGTCTGTTTCTACCATATCTACCAGATTCTATTCTTAAATTATGCGCAGATATTCTGAGACGGGCTAATTGTTGTCTTGATTTCATACACTTAATTTTATCTAAATAGCATTCCATAGAAAAATTATCCTTGATATGTCTATACAATGTATTTAAAACGTTATTATTAACAATATCTGAAAACCATTTTTGTTTAAAAACATCAATGATTCTTTGTTTAAAAATATTAACAAATTCTTTTGGATTATAAAGTTCAGGACAATTCCACACCTCAGAAAAACCAAATTCATCTAAAATTCCTTTTACTTTATATGCCCAGTTTTTTACTCCTGTTTTACACTGATTTAATGTATTTATATACACACATTTAACAATGATATTGCTTGAATGTATCACTTTAAATTATATTTTATTATGTGAACATATCTATTAACATAAAGTGGGTATCTTCCTAGCTCACCATAAATTACTGCATTACAAGAGCTTATTTTCACACCAAGAATTAACTTGCAAAATTTCAAGTGTAATCTCTCTATATCTTTAGATTTTGTAAATCCCCAGACTGGACAAGCATAATTTATGATAGAGCCGAAAAAGCATCAAATAATTGTAAGGAAACGGAAGGGGAAATTTCATACTTGTTAATATTACATATTAAAACATTCATTGCTTTCAAAGCTTTACCTATAAGATATTGATTATGAAGTACAAAGGACCCAGTGTAATTAAATACTACACCTAAATAATTAAAATCGTCAACGAGTTCCAAAGCTTCATTATTATAAAACCAACGTTCATGAGGAAGTACTGGTCCTCTATTCCGAAAAACAACTATTTTAGTTTTGGCGGTATTTACCTCTAGGCCCCATAGATTACAGTATTCAAATAGAGAGTTTAGTCTTTGCTGTAAATCCTCTTGCGAGTTACCAATTATTACAATATCATCAGCGAATAACAATATTACTATACATATTTCAAATATATTCAATCCACAATCGACAGAGTTTTGTAAAAATAATTCTAGGTCTTCTAAAAATAGTGCAAACATGGCGGGCGAATTATTTTGGCCTTGTCGTAGCCCAACCGATAAATTGAAAAACTCTGAAAATGTATTGCAATGTTTAACACACGACTTAACAATTGAATACATTGATTTAAAAGTTCTAAGTAACTTCCCATCTAATCCCATATTAAACAATTTATACCATAATGCATTGCGGTTCACAGAGTCAAACGCCTTTTTTAAGTCGATAAAAGCACAAGGTAATTGCATTTTTTGAGTTAACATATGGTTTATTAAATTGTGTAACACGAAAATTGCATCTACTGTACTACACCCCTTTCTGAAACCAAATTGAGGGTCTGACAAAATGTTATTCTCATCACGGATTTATATTACATTGTAATATAAATCCGTGTTCTCATCAAACCATTTTTCCACTCTATTTGTCAAGATACTTATAAACAATTTCCCAAAGTTACTTAGTAATGTGATGCCACGATAATTATTAACATTAGTATGATCACCTTTTTTATGAAGAGGTATAATAAAGCCTTCAGACCATATTTCTGGAAAATAGCCCGCATCAAAAACTCTGTTAAAAAGATCAGTGATATGGCCTACTAATATATCAATAGAAAATATAAAGTATTCGTTCAATAAGTCATCACTTGGACAAGACGCTTTGTTGCGGTTTAATCGCTTCACCGCATCTCTAACTTCTTCGCAAGATATGGGTATATTGAGCTCTTCGAAAGTAGGGTTACTAATATTAGGATCAATATTATCATTAGGTTGGGCCACGAGAGAGTTCCTCCCCGTGGTGTGGCCTGGATATTACATTTCGCAAACAGTCAAATCCGTTATTTATTTTATTTACATCTAACCTTTGGCGAAATGTAATAACTGAACGCTCTCAACAAATTATATTAGATTTTCCACGGAGAAAAACAATTACATTTTTAAGTTAAAGTTTATTTTATTTTTAGAAAAAAAAATGCTTATTGGCCACATTTTACCTATTTCGCAATTTCAATTATGTAATAAATCTCGTATAATAACCTATTAATAGAGGGTTCTACTTTATCTTTACATATATTAAGTCAAAAATGTATTTATTTCATTAAGACAATTAATTGATCATTGTTGAATTACAACTGAACAAACACATCATCTAAATTCTAAAAATATTTTTATAACTTTTAAAAAATTTCTTTCTTTTTTATTATTACTGTATTTTTTTTCATCAAAAATACCCGTTAATCACTCTAATCTATTGACATTAATCACTGAAAATAAAAGTGTTATTGCCTATTGGTCATTCTGTCTAATTACGTATATAATCTGGAGACCGTCGATTTGTGTTATAACCTACTAATCGACGGTCTACTACAATTGACGGTCTTCGACGGTCTTTGGAGACCGGGGACCGTCGAAGACCGGAGACCGGAGACCGTCGATTAGTATCCCCCTGTTTTAGTCTATGCCTTTGAAATGATATCTACAATTCTATTGGATATACGTCCAGCAATGAACCAATCAAAATTTTTCTTACAGAAGGGTTTACTGAATCGAATGTCACATTTACGAAAGAGTCAGAAAACATTTACTTATATAACGATTTTATAAAGAAATACAGAGCTAAAGAGTGTTTCGAAAGCAAAGATGTTTGCAGCAAGTACTTGTCAACCTCAGGTGAGTATACTTTACTAGGTATCCTTTTGTATAGTGGTACATTATATTCGTGTAACTTATGTCACATGTGTCTAGTAAAAAATCTGAGAAATTACGTCAATGACTGTGTGATTAGTTTCATCAGCTACAGTTTGCGTAGCCAATCTGGATACAAACCATCTGAATCTTATATAAGTTTCTTTAGAATTCCACGTAAAAATCTTAAAGATATATTCCTATTCCTCACATTATAGAAGAATCAAATAATTATTAATGAATTTGGACTTGTAGATTTACATGAATGATGAAACTGAAAGGAAGTTATTATCCTGTGATTGGTTGGGTTTTGAGCAATATCAAATCTGTCTGTACATGTATGTAGAAGGACCACTTCTGGAATGATTCTACAGGGAAGGGGCTCAGAAGTGACTTTTTAAAGCCGGTAGACAGACGTTTCACTATTGAGACGGTTCACACCAAGACGTTTCACTCCCAAATGGGAGTGAAACGTCTTGAAGACATTTCACTCCCATTTTATACCAAAATTATTTTGATACTTGTGATATACTACAATAGACCTTAATTTTACTAAAAAATGAAAGTTTGTATGTCATTATTGTTAAAGTTTTTTTTTTTCTTATTTTTTACTGGATTAGACTTAGAGAGATCTTTGAGCTGATATCTTTTCAGATATTTGCTCTTATTTAGGGAAAGATATTATGACCGGATATAATTAATTGTATGAAAGTTGCAGTTCTCTAAAGATGTTAATGATGATAATTTATAAGTGATTTTCTTTGCATTAAGTATATTTTTATATCAATAAGTAAAACAAATCTGTACATAATCTTACATAATATTTTCATATGATTATCTGATTAAATATTATTTTATTTTTGTTATAATTTATAACCAAAACTTATGGAGGAGTTTCTGTTTCCATGACTTTGGTTTTAATTGGCTGAACATTGTCTAAAAATATTTCAATGGTCCAATAAACAACTAATTAATAATTGTTGATGCTAAAGTGCAATGTTTATACAACTAATATAATAGTGATGTCAAACTGTTGTTTGATCAATGGTCTCAGTGTTTATACAACTAATTAGGTGATGAGATTACTGTTAACACCACAATTACCTAAGTTTGTTTAATGGCTACTGTCCAATAAATTGATATTACGAATACGAATTTTATTAAGCATAAAACAAAATACATTGCTTATAGCCAATTAACAATGATACACATGTACAGTGAGAAAAATAGCAGTTAACAATTATACACAAGTTTTCTGAAGAATACAAGCTAATATAGGAACAAATAAGACTTGTACTTATCAACAATATAGTTTTTCAGAAAAAAATATCAGATCAAGATATACGTTTCTGATTTGCCCAATACAAAAATTTAGCTAAGGCACATATAGATTTCTTTGAGTCTGACGACAAGATACTATCTAATTTATTCATAGAAGGCCAATGGCAGTAGTATTTTTTAAAATATTTTGTTCGAAGATCTCGGTAGTTGGGACACACCAGGAGAAAGTGGTATTCACTCTCTATTTGCTTCATATTGCATGATTTACATAATCGCTGTTCTCTAGGAATGTTTTCGTATCTACCAGTTTCTATAAATAAATTATGGGAAGAAGTTCGAAATCTAGTTAAAGCAGTTCTGTATTTACTTTCTTGGACATAATCTAAATACTTTTCCATTTCAAAAGAATGCTTAAATATACAATATGTTTGTAATCTTGGTGAATTATTGATAGACGCATACCAACTTTGTAGAAAGGTGTCAATTAATCTTTGTTTAATAGTATTATATGGTATATCTATATCAAACTGATTGTCCCAAATATATGAAAAGCCAAGACTTGACAAGGTGTCTTTGATAAAAGAAGCCCAATTTTTTCCGTTGTAATTTCGACCGACATCTGTGTCTGACTTAAGAAGTAAATACGCTTGCTTAACAAGTGATACATCATTAAGTTTAAGTATTTTTGACCAATATCTTATCATGTTAAGTTTTCTAGTAATATGTAACGGGTAACGACCAAGCTCACCATAAAGTGCTGACAAGTTAGTAGATTTTTTAACCCCTAAGACTCTCCGCAAAAATTTAGTATGAATAACTTCTATATCTTTAGCATCGTGCATTCCCCATATCTCCGAATTATAATTCAAAATGGAACCGACTAGAGAATCAAACAATTTACATTTCTGATAGGTTGGCAGTTCTATATTTTTAAATACTTTAAACAGGTTATGTAAAGCAAATGAGGCATGTTGAGCTATTCTGTTTTGAGTTCTAAACCAATTGCCATTTTTAAAGAGGGTAATTCCAAGGTATTTAAATGATTCTACAGGTTCGATTGGTGTGTTGTAAATATAAAAAATATGCTGTGTATGCCTGCCTTTTTCAAAAATCATTGCTTTTGTTTTAGACGTATTTATTTTCAAACCCCATGTATTACAATAAGTTTCAATATCTGTTGGCATTGCCTGTAGAGATTCAGGGGATTTAGCAAAAAGTACTTGGTCGTCTGCAAATAAAATGAGAAAAAGCTTAAGTTCGTTAATTGTAAAAATACCTTCTAAATCAGTGTTAATATTGTCTATAAGGTCATTTACGAAGAACATGAAGATCAGAGGTGAGCTCGGATCTCCTTGTTTCAAGCCTATATGAGAATTGAAAAAATCTGAATATGTAGAATTATACCTTACACATGATTTTACAGTAGTGTACATTGATTTTATTGCTTTAACAAATCGCGTGCTGATATTTTCTGCAATAAGCTTTTGCCACAAAAACGATCTATCTATTTTGTCAAAACACTTTTCGTAATCAATAAAAATACAATATAATTTATTACCCGAATTTAGAACATTTGATATAACTGCATGAAAAATAAAAATACAATCAGACACTGATTTTCCTTTTTGGAAACCAAATTGTTCACTACAAATTTTATCATGTTTTATTGACCACTTACTAAGTCTATTTAACAATATTTGGGAATAAATTTTCGCAAGAATATTAATAAGTGTAATCCCTCTGTAATTTTTAGCATCATTAACATCTCCTTTTTTGAAAACAGGCGTTATGATACCCTCACCCCAAACTTTAGGATATTCACTATTAATAAACAATCTATTGTAGAGTTTAAGCAACAATGGAGACATGATATCGTAGGCTGCTTTAAAAATTTCACATATTAATTTATCATAGCCTGGTGATTTATTATTATTTTGAGAAAATATAGCTTCCCGTAACTCGCACTCATTAATTTCTGAATCTAAATCTTCATCAATTAAGTTATCATTAAATAAAAAGTTTTGATTTTCATTTTGGCTTTCCTCGCCGAATAGTGCCTTAAAATGGTCATAAAGTTGTTCAACATTTAATGTATCGGTCTTTTCTTTATCATCTTTATAAGTATTTTTTATGTTTTGCCAAAATTTCCGGGGTTGAGATTTAGCTAAGTTATTTATTCTTAAACCTTCTTTTATTTTGAACTTATGTCTTGCAGATCGTTTAATTTTATTATAACGCGTTCGCGTATGTATAAAATGGAGGCGATTATCAACTGTATTGTGCCTATTAAAAACATTACGTGCTTTCTTAAATTCCTTTTTTGCCTCAAAGCAATCCTTATCAAACCATTTTTTGCTTAATTTTCCATGTTTATGATTTAAAATTCGCTTTGTTCCGAACACATCGAATGCATTGTCAGATATGAATTGTGAAATATTTTGTACCACGTGGTCTATTGGTTGATCTATGACCTCTTGAGTAAGTTTTAAAATATCGTCATTTCTATCTAAAAGTTGTGATCTAAACAGGGGTATTTTTTCTTCGTCCCACGAAATCTTATCCTCGCTGGGATGAATACCCGATTCTGCTATTCGAGATGTACATTCTTTCTTTTTTACAAAAGTAAATGTGAGAGGAGAATGGTCAGAGAATTCGTTAAAATCTTCAATTTTAAAATGTTGTAATAATTGAAAATCAGTAAAATTCAATAGCAAATAATCAACGGTACTTAATCCTCTACCTGAACAAAATGTAAAGTTACCCCTGTTACTGTCGCTTAGCAGACGGCCGTTTGCTATTAATAGACCAGTTGTTTGACAGGTATCGAGTAAACGCCTACCATAACTATCAATCACGTGATCTTTAAAGAAATAATTTAAAAGAATAATTAATTTTATGCACATTTTCTGCATTTCATTGATAAATATATTTACAAAAAAAACTAATAAATATATTTTATATATTGATATTATTTAATGACTGTACTGGTAGTGGTTTCAATATTCAAATTGGTACTTACAATGTGTCTTTGTTGTTCATGAACATTTTCATTTTGTTATTCTATTATCTTTCTTGATTTATTATAAATAGAATTTTCTCATGTTGTTACTCTTATAATAAAAACGATATTTCAGACATTTGTCTTTCATTTATACCTCTTATCATTCAACCCATATTTAAATGAGTATAATGATAATGTTCTAATAATTCATCATAATTATGTCCTCATTGAAACCTACATTTTTACTCCTACTAATTAACAGGAATCCTTCAAAACACTGTTTAAACGGAACAAAATTCACTTTTCTGAGCTGATACTATACTGTACTGTATAGATCATAATTATTTACACATTCTGTTATATTTCAGAAACTTATACTTTTATAATCATTCTTCAAATTCATAAATTCTTCTTAACAATACTCTCAAACTCAACAAAATGAATCATTAAATTGAATTTCCCCTTCATAATGAAAATAAATTTTCTTAATAAAAACATCTAAAAAATAGGAGTGAAACGTCCATACAATTGACAAAATGGGAGTGAAATGTCTAGGTGTGAACCGTCTTGGGAGTGAAACGTCTCAATAGTGAAATGTCTTGGGAGTGAAACGTCTGACATTCTTTAAAGCCCTATATTGTGTACAACACTTTCTTGCTAATGGTTCTAACACACTGCCGGCACCCTACCACCTGCTATCTGGTAGATTATCACCAACCGGTTGTACACACAGCGGTCTTGAAGAGAGTTAAGTTTCAATGTAGTAAGCATATGAGTGACGCTTCCTTCTCCTTTGGATGTGTACGAATGCCGAGGCTATAAGAATGCTTCGTCGTATCATATTAGTTCATATTTCTGACATGTTACTTTAATCCTTTGTTGCCTATCGATAAAGAAACATTGTTACACAGATAAACTGACAAATTTATTTCAATCAATTAGCGACAACAATAATCTGCTCTTGATGTGATAAAATCATGGTTCATTAATTACAACAGAACTCCTTACGGCAGTTGATAGTTAATGTTGACACACATGATTTCACAACTATTCAGATATATGTGCGAATAACGGGGTAGAAATACATGCAAAATTGTTAATTGGTCAAGAGAAAGTTGTGGTAGTATGAAAAAGTGGGGTGTTCTCAATTTTGGATAGAAATATCATTGAAATAAGTACATTCTTACACAAGGCTGGGCTCTACTGTATATGCAACAAATTTGGCATATTCAGTCAGGTTCTTTCCTTAAAATACTGATTAATGCCACCTAATATTAATTGATGTGTACACAAAGCTAAATTAAAATATTTCTGTAATTTATTTCAAGAAAAGATGCATTTACCTGGTAAAAATCCAACATCAATATGTAATGCAAAATATTTGAATAAAATTATCAAACTGCCAAGTGATATACCATATCAATTGTAAGATGATCACCTGTTATTATAATTTATATGTTCTTATTTAGCTATTATGCATTAGCTGAAAATACAATGTTAAGACTTTTGGTCAATAGTAAGAATATACCATAAAACTCACCCATCATGAAAAGTTAAATCTCTCATAACACAAAACCAAACAAAACCAAAAAAAAAGTTAAACAATTTTTCTCATTAAAAATGGCATAATGAAAGAAATTCTTACAGAAAAATCCTGGCCAGAATAATCCCTTTGTGTGCTAGGAAAGTCTGTTTTATAAGAATTAATAAAAAATAGCCAATGGAATGGGAAAGTCAGATACAAAACGGTTAACCCATTGGTTAAATTAATCTACAGTCTCATACAAATCATAATTATACTTACTTGTTAACGAACTTAACAATTTCCTGTAAGTATGGTAAAACTAAATATTATCACATGTTAACAATCTTCCTCGCATTTGCATGCACTGTTTTCCAAATTCTGATTATGCAGTACGTTTAAATGCTAAAAAAGAAGAAAAAGTTATTTGAACTTTTTATCTTTTAAAGATACACAGTCATGTTACCTAAAGCTAGGCAAAATATGCCCTGAAGGCATGGTCACTGACTTCATATGAAAGCAGGCAATGGAACTATGAAGTCAACAACAAAAAATTTATATCATGGGCTAAACAAACTGATCTAGGCTAAGAGCCATGTACAACAAATTTGGGATTAACAAGACCTGTGATATTGGAATAATTTTTTTAACTTTTAATCTTCGATATTATTTAGTTTTTTCCTTCTTTGTTTTTGGTACTGTAAACGAACACTTCCAATGGGAAATAACAGTTTTTCCCAGATCCCTCTCTTGAAATATTTAAATTTTGGAAATGTAAGCTTGAGATAACTTTTTTTCTAAGTAATAAATAGTTAAAATGTATTTTAAAATCAAACAAAAACTCAGATATAGATTTCTTAATTACAACTGAAATAATTATAAACACTAGATAAAGCAACAAATATGATGTATATATAATTTTTTTTTTAGTCACAATTTTGGAATCACATTATATTTTTTTCCAAATATTAAACACCAGACCAGATGTTTAAACAAGATTGAAGCAAATCACACTGAAACAACTTTTGACGCTTACATACATATTGTAAATTTTTAGTTGTTTTATGAATAATCCTCTTTTCTTATAAAGATGTGTAAATTCTCCCCTATTTACACATTTTAGGTTGCTGTGGCTGTCAATCATTTATCAACTATTGTTCAGTCAATAAGGAATGGAAGTTATAGTGTTGTTATACCTAGAGGGAGGAGGAGTCAGAGAGCAGTGTCAAGGCAACCAAGGTCAGAAGTCACTGAAGGGTCGCACAATGAGGTTAAGTCAAAAGAAGTTGACTCAGAAGTGAGTATTTACAACACTGTTCCACGGAACTGACATAAGGTTCAGTCACATCTTTATTGACATAGTTAATTAAAACTATGCATCAGCAATTTTACTTCCTATTTGCAGTATAGCATCATTGCTTTTGAAAAATTGGAAAACCTTTAACCCATTACCTCATATACACTTGAAACAACACACTGTCTACCCCCCCCCCCCCCCCCCCCCCCTACCCTCTCTTTAAGGCCTCAAATAGTGAAAATTGTTCTGTTTGGGCCCCAAACACATGTTTCCGTTTGAGAAATGTTGTTAAAAAAAGTGACCACTTTTTCAGTGCAGCCCCCCAGCCAAAAGATACATCAGGGGGTTGCCATAAGGGGATGTGCCCCCTTCTGTTTGCGGGGTTTGAAGGGGGGCAGTAGTTCCCCTCATCGCCAGTACAATTTTGGACTTGTGAGAGGCTAAAAATGACCCCAGAACGATCATAAGGTAATGTGTAACCAACGCTGAAAAGCATTTGACTCTATCTCAATCAATTGAGAAGTTGCAGCACTTTGAAATCAATTTTGATGGAAAAAATCAATGCAAAATAGTGATTTTTGGCAATTTTGAGATGTCCCCTTGTTGCCATTGTAACAGGAAATTTAAGTCTGAGCATGTTGTTACAAAGGCAATGGTCCACTCCAGTCAACATTTGTGCCAAGTTTGATTAGCATTGAAGCAGTTTTTATACTTTTATAGCAATCTGACCTTGTAACTGGAGACTTTTCATTGAAAACAGCCATTTTTCACAAAATGCTCATGAAGTAATGGGCTAATTAACCTGTGGTTGGTCTGTAGAACTTTGTTCAGCCCTTACCATGCTATATTATATATGTCAATATTATATATATGTATACATCTTAAATGGACTTGTCTGTTCTTCAATCTGCACAAAACCATTTATGATTGTTAAGGAAATTTTCAAATAAGGCACTGACTCAATAGCAAACAGTGCAGAGATGCCACCATTACCATGATTTGACAGTATGGCTGTTCTTGGTCTGGACTGGTGGTTAAGGTTGATTCTGTTGTATACTTAGGAAGTAAGCAAAGTGTAGAAAAACCTTTGAACAGTTTTGGTTTAATTTATGGATTTTCAAAGACAAACATGTTATATTATACAATAATTATTATTGCAATTTGCATTGTTACTTCTTGTATATATATATATTATATATGTATATCACAAAAGGATTTTCCAGTTTTCAGAGAAGAGAAATAAAACCGGTTTCCGTCTGGAATAGGGTGTTATCTCCCACTTAAAATAAAATTGTAATGTTTTGAGAAATTTAAACCTTTATTGTGACAAATTTGTGGTGTATCAAAAATGAAGGTAATGTTTATTCTTTATTCTAGGTTAAAGAACTTGACATGGAATCATGCTGGGATATCCTCATGAAAGAAGACAGTTTAAAAAAATTGTCTGTTTATTTTGGTGTTCCAGAAGAAAACCATTGGAAGTCAAATTATGTATCAGCTTCAACATTTTTTGAAAACAAAAACGGTAAGATAATGATTCTATACAATGTTCAAATTTACAAGTTAAGAAATGAAGTGATTTAATTTAGACTAATGTACTAGTTTTTCATAGAAATTTCTTATGATTTTGTCAGAATGTGCTGGAATTTCTCTTACTACATTAGAAACAAGTTAAAACTTTGTTGATGGAAAATATAAGCAAATTCTGTCATATCATGCAAAATACATTCAATGAATCTCTTGGATTGTGAATATATTATACAAATATATCTTTTTTCTTTGGTTTGATTTATATGCCTCCAGCTTCGACAGTGTTGGAGAGGTATTGATATATAGATCTGCTCTTGTCTGTCATGCTTTGTGTCCTTAGAAGTGTAAAGCTGTGGAATGTGGGGAAATCCCTGTTGTATAAAATTTTAATACATTTCTAATGTGAAGAACTATTTAACACATCTGGAGGTGTGCTGATGTAATAAAAGAAACAATGTTTAATTTGTTTTCTGATTCGTCTTTTAACAGGGTTTCATGAACACTTGTTAAGTATCCCAACATCGGCTGGATTTTGTTCAATTCTTAGACCAGATGTTGTTAGGTTATTGAGTCAAAACCTCTCACTAGGTAAGATTTTAAAGAAACTGTTCATAGTAAAAAATATAACAGATCTATAAATTTATGAATAAATCTATTAGTTTTAAGTAAATCAAATGGTATTTGTTAAATTTATTATAGAGCCATAAAGTGGACACATGTTTTTTGTATACATGGTAGATATACATATATTTTTTTCGAATCAACCAGGGCTTTTTTCACAGGTTGGGGAAGCAGCCCTGCCCTTAATTTTGAGGAAAAAATACATGGTATTTTTGCAAAAGGCGAAGAAAAAACTTGACGTAAATCAAATTTTTGGGGAAAACCATGATTTTAAAGAATTTTTCTTTGGGGAAGCAGCCCTATAATGGCTCCTGCTATAGAAGGAAAAAAAGCCCTGTCAAAACATGTATGTTTTGATAGAAATTTGTCATCTTAATTGTATATACATGTACAGTGAATCAGGATACAATTTTCCTGTGTCGAGGTCATAAGTTAATAATGTTTATCAACAGTTTCAATGCTAGAAATTTTCTTTTGAAATCACGACCATGCCAATTAAAACAGCAATCATAAAAAGGTGGTACTGATTCCATAGTTACCCACACATGCTTATTTGTACTGATATTTTATCAAAACCAGATATTTAAAAAAAAGATTTTTAGCTATCCTCACTTGTTTGGGGTGTTTTGGTTTGGCAAATTTTATCATGAAGTTTATCATTTGAATCTCAGTAAACAGTTGACATTGTATGATATGAGCATCCACGCAGTCTGATCAGGATCCATGCTGTTCGCTATCAGTTTCTCTACTTGTAACAGGGTTGGGAAGCGAACAGCATGGATCCTGATCAGACTGCATGGATGCGCAGGCTGGTCTGAATCCATGCTGGTCGCAAACGCATTATGTTGGTTTTGTCATGACGCGGCTCATATTGTTTTTGCAGCACATACAGTAGAACAAAGACGTATGTATCGTAAAGAGACAAGAAAAACAGGGCTTGGTACTGCCAGCTTTGAATTGGATAAAAAACCAAAAATTGGGGATGTAAGTACAAAGTGTTTTATTCTGAAAACTTGGAACCTGAGATTACATGAAGTATACTTTTATCATTTGTACATAGTAAAAACCTTTGAATTACTAGACAACAAAATAGAAACTGTATAAGGTTTATAGGATTGAATATTGTATATAATGTTTGCAGATCAAAGTCCAAATATCAGGCAGTTTTGTGTCTGCTTTAAAAAAGTTTTTCCTAAAGGATTTTTTTTTTCAAATGAAGTTCAAATGCTCACTTTCAAAATTTTTTATAAATATGATGATATCAACTCCTGTGAAGGGATGAGGGGGTAATTGTCACTCATTTTTACCCTACAATTTATGGATAGTGGGACATCTTACTCACCTTTTGATGATCTTGTTTTAAAACTTCATATTTCAGTTTCCAAAAGGTAATTCATTGGCCTTATAAATGTCTTTTACTTTTTTTGCTCTTTGGCAATTGGTATGATAATAGTGATTCAGTATTTTGTATAGAAATCAAAATACTAGTTTGTTTACATTTTGCTTCCTTTATAACAGATTACTGCACATTCAGTGCTACTTTCTTCAGTTGTTAAAGATCCAACATGCTCTTTTTTCGTTTAAAAGCATTATTTAACATATGTTTCACCTTTGTAAAGAATTTTGAAAATTAATGATTTCTGAAGCATAATAAGTCTTTTAAGAACATATTTTTATGTTACTGTTTAAAACATAATTGACTTGTTGTTGTTGTTGTATTATTCAGGACTTTGTCAACAACTTACATGAAGGTGCGTCTAAGGAAGTGAAGGATAAAATAAACATGGCTTACATAGCAGGCTTAATAAGCAATGCGGACAAAGGTTCTGCGTTAAAGAACAAAAGCACAAAGGAAAAAAGCTCGTTATTTCTGAAATACTTCTTGTATGCTCTTCTGGCATATTTCTTGTACAGGCAGTTGTCAGATATGACTGTAGGACCTGGTAATGGTGGTAGGTTTCACTTTCCTTAATATAGTATAGAATTTGCAGAGAAACACCCTTTGTTTTACCTTGACTATGCAATAAGAATAAGTAGAGCTGTCCTAGTCACCAGAGTGTTGATGTCGACGTAACCACTTATGCTAATGTAACACCTCAAATATTTTCAAAGTCCATTGACATATGGCTTTGAAACATTGCACACTTGTTCACCATGTTGACATGAACTTGTAGACAGGAGGAGGTAACTTGAGTATTTCGACAGAATTATGTGAAAAAAATTTACATTATCAAGGCTCGTGTACTATCAAGCACTAACAATAGTCAAGCGTGGTGTCCTACTGACAGCTCTTGTTGTTGTTGAGAGAGGGTGCTGTACAGAGGTACTAGAGGAGGTATAATATATTTGCAGGGGCACCTGTGGCCGAAAGGTCAAGGTTTCCCGTTACGGCTGTAGGTTTGATTCTTGCCAAGATCTTTGGATTCTGTCATGTGATGAAGCTATCCAGCTACCTTACAATATGTCAGTGGTTCTACTTAGGTGCACCTGAGGTTTTTCTTCCAACAGTAAAGCTTAAAAGTCGCCATATGACCTATATTGTGTTGGTGTGTCATGAAAACCCAATCCAAAAAGATAAATTTGACATATTTGCAAAGCTTACCTTTTGGAAGAAGCGATACTGTTGTTGTAAAGAGATTATTGCTATACAGAGTGTCACTTTGCCTGGGGGCCAGTCTGTTGATTTCTTTTTGTGCTTCTGTTCGGCAAATCAACAGCTTTGGGAAATACAATTTTCAATCAAAGGGTCACCTAGTATTCACCTGAAAATTACAGGTGTAATGTAATGAACAATAACTCATTCAACTTCAAAATAGTTTCTAAAAATAAAAACAGAATTACTACGAAATGAAACAGAGTTTCCACAATGTGACCCGAAACTCAAAGAACAGTCACGGAACCTTGTTTCAAAACACCATTTCCGATTATCATTAGTCAATAATTACATGGGAAATCCCGCAGGTTTCCACCAGTTGTTGATGGTATCAAAACACGATCGAGTATGAAATAGTGCGTATGTTATGAATAGACAAAAAATATCAATGCCTGAATCCCAGGCTGTTGAGTGTCACTGTGCTGGGTCTGAAACATATTTTTTAAAAAGAACTCATTAAAACCATTATGTTACTGAGTATATATACTTGCAAATAAGAGGTAATAAGTATCTTATATATGCGCACACAAAAAAGAATTTTTTCAAAGATTAAATTTTTTTTTTCAAAAACTATTATAGAAGAAGAATTGTGTGAGGCCCTGCTGTCTTGTTTGTTTGAAGTTAAACATATGCAGTATTATGTGTATGTACTGTATAGGTTTCTGTGTACTGGATACATCCCTATATGATATGAACCTGTCTTATTCAAAATATCAGATTAGTGCACATACAATAAACATTTCACCACTAAAGTACACATAATCATGGCAACATGTCATTGTGTATGGTTAAATCTATTGATATTCAAGTAGAAGGTTAGAGATGGGATCAATTAATTCCTTCTGTTTTAATGTTTTTATTTACACATATATTTTTTGAATGCAGGATTCCCAATGGTAACTCCTGGAAGATTTGAGGTGAATCCAGAAGAAGTAAAAGTGAAGTTTTCTGATGTGAAAGGTGTAAGTAAACTATTTTCATAGTTGAAGTACTTTGTTGACCTTTGGTTTAGGCCTCCCCCCTCCAAAAAAAAAATATATAAAATAAAATAAAAAAATCATCAAAGACATTCAGTTGGCCTATTTTGTTCACTAATTAATCACAACTGATTTAACAAGACCTTGTTTTAAATATATAGGTGATTTCTTGATTGATGTTTGAACAGTTTCTGCAGTTGTGCTGTTAAGATAATTGCCAATTATAAGACTAGTGAGACCGTCCTGCTCACCTGGGCAACTTATCGTCCCCTTAGTGTAGTAAGAGGTTAAGTCCATCTAACTTAACTAGAAGTTAACCAGTTATTACACTAAGCTGACATAATACTCATCTGGTGCAACTTATATTTCATCAGCTGCTAAAGATATTTCCTTGTAACTTAACGTGTTTAAAATCTTATCATAATGCAATATCCATCTGCAAAAACTACTGAATATATTCTCTTAGAACTTATTACATATACATGTCAGGGATCATAATTAGAGGTCACTTTCCAAGACCTGTAACTCTGGCATAGGTTTTGTCTGATTTATGGCCCTTTGTTAACTTAAACAAAATTATTTTATTTTCTTATCTTTCCACGACAGTGTGATGAGGCAAAAGAAGAATTGGCTGATATTGTAGAATTCTTAAAAAATGGAGAAAAATTCAATGCCATTGGGGCTAAACTACCAAAAGGTATGTATATAAATCCTTTATAAATAATAATGCAATTAATTGCCTAATGATATATTTCATGTTTTCACTTAAGAATTAAATTTAATTTAAATGCTTCTGTCAATGTTCTGTACCGAAAAAATCAGTATAATTCAATTAAGGTATGCCATTTTCTTGCTGTATGTTACAATATACTTTATACATGTATCTCAGGGTTCGAATTTAGGCACGCAAACACGCTAATAGCTTGTAGAAATTCTGAATAGTGAGTAACAATAAAAGACACTCGCATTTATTAGCGAGTGAATAAAAAAGGACCCAAATATATAAAAGTTTTCTTTTCAATAAAATGTCTGTGTAAAATTTGAAACAAAACTTAAAACACCGCAAAATAAAGACAGTCTTGCGCATTTTCGCTATAAATACAATTGCGGAAATCCGATTTTTAGGGGGTTACCCATTCTTTGGGCATGTGCGTGAAAAAAATGACGTCAATCGGTACCCGCCACTACGATTCGTAGATAATTTTGTAACCGTCTCTGATTGGTCTTTATAAATAGATATGTACTGGAAAATCCGATTCCCGTTATGCTTGTTTGTTTGTTTGTTTCATTTTACGCCTTTTCCGAACAGTATTTCAGTCTTATAGGCGGTCCGTTATGCTTGACTTTATCACGTGAAATAAACAAGGTCAAATGTCTCAAAGTCTATACTCAGTAACGAATTTTCTAATGACGAAACGGCCGGCGGACAAATCTGATGGAGATTCTATTGCATATCAAATATCGAGGAAACGTCTGAGAAGGCAGTAACTGCAAGCTTGAAAACTGTAAGAACTTGATGTTCACCTGGATATTGTTATGGGTGATTCATCAACAGTGAATCAAATGGCCTGCAAAACATGTAAAATGTTTGCACCTGCAGACAGAGTATCTAGACTAAGGAATTTATATTTAATTAGATTTTCTGTCTATTTATTAACCAGAATGGAAAGAAAATATGGTCTTGCCCCTTTCTGTCTATTATGTTCGTCTTGTAATGTCCAATCTTTTATATGGTCTTGGGAGTGGGTGCAATAAAAACTGCCTAGGCTAGGGAGGGGTATCGCCATTTTTAGCTCGACTTTTCTATGAAAAGGGGAGCTATCCTACTCGCCCCGGCGTCGGCGTTGGCGTCACACCTTGGTTAAGTTTTTCGTACCACCCCACTTTATTTCAGAAGTATTACAAGTATGGCTTTGAAACTTACCATACTTGTTCACCATCATAACCTCCATCTACAGACAAGAGTACATAACTCTGTCAAGGTTTTTGACAGAATTATGGCCCTTTTTTGACTTAGAAAGTGTATTGAGCTTGGTTAAGTTTTTTGTACCACCTCACTTTATTTCAAAACCATTGGAGGTATTGCTTTGAAACTGACCATACTTGTTTACCATCACGACCTTCATCAACAGACAAGAGGACATAACTCTGTCAAGGTTTTTGACAGAATTATGCCCCTTTTTGACTTAGAAAATACATTGAATATGGGTAAAATCCACTTATTGCCTTAACCCTTTGAGATATTGCTTTGAAACTTTTAATGCTATTTCACATCATTACCCCCATCTGTACGCAAGAGAAGGTAACTCTGTCAAGGATTTGTTTTAAAAATTAAGGCCTTTTATCGACTTAGAATCTTGGTTAAGTTTTTAGTACCAGTCCACTTTTTGACTGAACTGTTTGAGATATTAATTTGAAAGTTGGAATACTTGTTTACAATCATGATTCCCAAACATGTCCAGGAGAAGGTAATTCTGTCAAAGATTTTATTTGAATTATGGCCCTTAACTGTCAATGTTTTGTATTATAGGCAAGCACTAAAAAACTTAAAAAATCTAAAAAAAATTCATTCCTATCCACTGAACCTGCAGTGTTCAAGGGTATCACACAATTCAGTAAAATAATTCTTCACTAAATATCTTAATGCTCATGGCCATTGTTCACTTTAAAAATACAGAGATTCTTGTATTGCCTTTTACTGCAAAAACTTTTTTTATTGGCAAGCAATAAAAAAGTCGAGCGCGCTGTCTTACGGACAGCTCTTGTTTTGTTAGGTTGTAGAAACTGCATAGGCTAGAGCAGTAGAGGGGTAAGACCATATTTATTTAAGAAGGCTATCACCAGCAAAGACATTCTATTTCAACATTACATGATCCATGGCATTATTCTCTCATAATGAAGTCAGTTTTTTTCAAAAGCTTATGACTGTTGTCATTTATAACAACCACCTTATCCAATGCAATGGTCAGAGAAAGAAGAGGCCAACTACAACTCCATATGGCCCGAGAACTTGATATGATTTTTACATCATATTTTAATAAATTTGCCTTCTCAATTTCAGCTAGTCACTTTTCATTTTAGCTAGTAAGCATAAAATGCACAAGCTAATTTTAGCTAGTAGTAAATATTGCTAAATTCGAACCCTGTATCTTAAATATTTTACAGGTGTACTATTGGTAGGTTCACCAGGTGTGGGAAAAACTCTTCTGGCAAAGGCTGTTGCAGGTATAGTTGAGTTTAACTAATAGTTAAGAATTGATAAATGTGTAAATGTGAAATTTATTATATTAATAAAAATGAAGTATTAAAAATATGTGACACAGCCAAATTCTGGATTGTACCATAGAAGTGGCCTATTAATGATTGAGACTGAGTCTTGGTCTAGAGATGAGTTTTTATCCAGCCAGGAACTAAATATTCTTTGATTAATATGATGTAGCTGTTTTTCTAGCTTACAGAAAGTGTATGGTGTTACTTGTGTACCTGCAGATGTTGAATTAATCCATCCAATTGTACTGGAAATTTTCTTATACTATTATAGTTAGAAAGTCATCATAATATAACCTTGATAGTGTCAGTGTCACATAATACTACCACATAACACTCCCCACCCCCCTTCTTAAAAAAAGAAAACCGGTAAAGAATAGTACAAGTCTCCTGTTGTGGTGGTATTCAGTTTTGTTTTAATTATAGAAAAATCACAACACAATATACCAGCATTTATTTCATTTAGGTTTAACATAAAGAATAATTTCTATTATTTTACAACTAGGTGAAGCAGGTGTCCATTATTTCCACGCATCAGGCTCGGAGTTTGATGAGATGTTTGTTGGGAGTGGATCAAGAAAAGTCAGACAGTTATTTGGTAAGTTAACTAAATTTTTAGTTTACAATTTCTACAATACATGTACCTCCCTTGAACATTTATATGTGTGTAGGGGGGGGGGGTCAGATATTATTGACTATGAAGAAAAACCAGGGAGACAGATGATTTAGGCGAAATGTCAATTTCTTTTACATATGTTATCAAACAATTTTATCATTCATGCACCAATTTCAAAAACGGTTTTATCATTTCTGTTTGTAAAGTTGCATGTCTGATAAATTTAGCTTTATCAGTCACCCTCAGCTTTATCAAACATCTAAACAATGCATGGTATTCCCTGTATCTGTAACTTTAGTTTTCAATTTCTTTGCATAAAATTATAATGTGTGTGTATATAATTTGGTAATCTAATAATAAATTTTATTTTCTTAACATACAGCTGCAGCAAAGTTGAGGGCACCAAGTGTGATATTTATAGATGAGATAGACAGTGTAGGAGCAAAAAGAACAAGTTCACAAATACATCCTTACGCTAATCAAACTGTCAATCAGTTACTCTCTGAAATGGATGGGTAAGTATTATATACTTTCCATTTTAATAGACTAATGTTTCAATGACATTGTTGTTGTTTTTTTACAGTTGGTAATCTGAACTTAAATTTAATTAAATGCATATTGAACCTCAGAATTAAATTTGATTTTTCTTCTCAAGAAAATTTATATTGATTATGGATTGAGAGCCTGTATTGTAAGATGATTATTATCCAAAGAAGCAGGGTTGAATGTGAAATAGTTTGTCATGAAAGTTAAAATAATTACACAAAGTTATACTAACGTAATAGAATGCAGAGTGATCCTGAATATGTGCTTAAACATACAATTTATATATATAAGGTTGTCAGAAATTGGTAGAATGATTGTTTATATTACATCTAGAGTGGATCCTGAACTTGGTATAGATGTGTATGGTGTATGACTTAATAACATTTGATATTATACCCCCACTATTTCAGGTTCACAGGATCTCAGGGGGTGATTGTTATTGGTGCCACAAATAAAAGGGACAATCTAGATCAGTAGGTTATAATTCAAATATAGCTTCCAACCATATGAATACATATACCTAAAAATGTAAAATGGATTGAAAGTTGTTTAGAGAAGATCTTAATAATTATTAATGATAATTTAAAGGGTGTTTTGTATATACACTGCGTGAATTTTAGTATATTTGATGTGAACACTTTTCTGCGAAATACCAACCCACCACAGTGGGTTTTTCACGGATTTTGATAACAAACAGGTAAGAAAACTTTCCATCCACCAGTACCAGTTCAAAAATGTGCTGTTTGATCACGGCCTTTACTATTCTCTATTTTGGTAGATTTAAGTATTAATGATATATGATATTCTATGATTTATATACATTATTATTTAAGAATAATATAATATTAAATCAGTTGAAAAGTTGGGCATGAATGTATTTATGATATATGATATTTCAGTGCTCTATTGAGACCAGGCAGATTTGACATGGAGGTAAATGTGTTACCCCCAGATGCTAAAGGGAGAGAAGATATTTTCAGATTGTATTTGTCAAAGGTTCATGCCAGCAAAGGTAAACTTTACTTATATCTTGTTTGATTTACAATTTGAAAAAGAAACACTGTGTCATTGATGTATTTAAAAATTGACTCTGTAATGCAAGTTTTGGACTATCATATATAAATTTTCATATTGCATATTTTGTTTAAAGATATACTATGCTCATCTTCCATTTTTTTCATCGCAAATATTTATTAAAATCTCTTAAACTCTTCAGAATATGTCTTATTTGGACAAAAGAATTTACAATGCTGTATTCTCTGTTACAGGTCATGTAAAGTTGGTCCTGTCTTAAAAAATTTGCCAGTTTTTTTTAATGACACATTATATTCGTATGTAGACCTTGTGTAGTGTGTAGAGTTTAAAACATAACACAGCTGATTTGTGTAAAGTCGAAATATGTTGATTTTATATTTACAAAGAGACTGTGTAACAATTCTCAATATTTTCAAATATCAAATTTGAGCATAGTATATCTTTATAGGCCAAATATGCCTTTAATACACACATTTACTTCTCATAGATATTTTGATAACATGTAAAAAAAGATTGTTAAAGCTAGTAGTCTAATAACACACCTTATTGAATATTTACAGATTTAGACTATCCGAAGCTTGGGTTAATGACTCGAGGAATGACAGGTGAGTTGTTATAAATAATATCTACTCAATTAAATTGAGCATGAATTTGAATTAGTTGAACAGTAGATAATTCAATATCAATGATAAAGTTAAAATTTCTTGTAATTCTTCCTTATATCCTATAAAGCTTATGAGGGAAAAGATTACATATATGAACTGATGTGCTATTATGTGTAACAGTGTGTTTCTTCTACCTATATTCAATGATAAATATGTAAAGTTGTCAGTTGCTGGTAGATATATAGATACCTACACAGGATCTTGGAATACTTTATAACTGTTGTTAATATGTTTATGTCTTATATAATTGTAAAAACTTGCACAGAACTTGATAGGACTACAAAACAGGAACAAGCACAAATTAACATTACTTCTTTACTCAGAAACATTAGTCATGCTCTATGTATCAATCACAGGGCTCACGCTGTCGGTCGCCATAGTCGCCATTTGCGATTATTTTATAAGATTGGCGATTATTTTTGCATTTTGGCTACAAAATCTGGCGATTATTTTTTACTTCCAACAGTGTTTATATAAGGTGTAAAAATCGATAATGAATGCAGTAGACCCAATTAACACCAGCGGGGTGCATTTAATTGAGTGTCAACTTTTTACCGGTCACGTGCTGCTAACTATATTGCCCGAGGTGATAAAATACATGCGAGATGTATAATTGTATAAGAACTTTAAAGATATTGTCCATCAAATATCCGTCAATTAGCCACAAAAATCGTTTTAAAATTGATAAACTGGATATTGACTGGATATTGACTTACCCAAAATTTACCGTGAATTCCAGTAATTGCAAATTTTGATTTTTTGTTTGTTTTAAGCTACTTGACTAAAACGCCAGTGGAAAACAATGGTAAAATATTTAAAAAGTATTTAATTCCAAACAACTATTTGCACACCAACCAAAATTGTGAATATTTCTTCAGAAAACAGGAAAAATCCGATTGTCACATATTTTCGCGACACCGATAATTTTGATATTTATTTAAAGGTGAAATAAGCTATGTTCTGTTTAAAAATCTTTACTACTATGGCAGAAAATTTGTATTACATTGGTGATGATGATATTTTTCAATCACTAATTCGTGAATAGTCCGCTGAACTTTTGGCTATTATTTTTTTAAGTTGAAATTATTGGCTATTATTTTATTTGAGCCAGTGTGAGCCCTGAATCATGATAGTTTACTACATGTACTAAGTCTTAGTCTTAACCATGTATGTTCACTGTATGCTGAATCAGTCACACATGTTTCAATCAAGATAGTTTAAAGTGGAATGGTCTATAGTAGACAATAAGTAATTCATTCATAGTATAAGACATAACATCAAACCACACAAGACCTATACGAGGAAGTTGTTGGCTAGTGAGAAATACATAATCCAATATTACATACATTTATATAGCAGGTGATAAAATTAACAAAATATTATTATTCGTCAGATAAATGGTCATTCTAAATCACTTAAAACTTTATCAACATTTTTTTTTCAAGCAATATTTTATAAGAATACTCACATGATACATTTCTATTGTTTTTATCATATCAATATTTGAAATACTATAAATAGAAAATGTGCACATAGTAGACCTATCCACTGTTTGTTCAGTCAACATCTATGAACCACTTTATTTTCTAATCATGTTAAGATGTTTCAATGTATAAGGAAATTACTGGACTAGAAATATTTAAGTTGAAAATGTTGTTTTATGTATTTTTTTCAGGAGCTGATATCAACAATATAGTAAACCAGGCTGCATTAAGAGCTGTGTTAGAGGGACATAATATAGTAACAATGAAAGACATTGATTATGCTAGAGATAAAGTTATCATGGGTAAGGGAATCAGATTTTATGTCACTTTATGTTAAACATACTAAAATTGCATCTGCCTAGCCAACTATGACCGTGTCCTTGTGAAAATGTGTCACCATCTTTGTTTATTATTATATGTAGTTAATCAGAAATTTAAACTGCATGCAATTGGTCATTACTGATAATTAGCAAAACATTCTACTAATATTTCTCAGCCAACATCCAGTAAACGAGTAAAAACTTGAAAAACCTTTCCACAAACAGTTACAAATTTCATGTTGAGCCCAAACGTTTAATAAAACAAATGGTTTATTTATTAAAAAAAAAATATATTCGTGTTAACTGTATTATTTACACTTATAACTTCAATCTAGATATGCAATAATTTCCTTAGAATTTTATTTGAAAAACAATTGCATCAAACAGAATTTAATTGGGTTACCATTATACCCTTTTGGATATTTAGTGTGTGTTGATGTACATTTTATAATTTTATAATGATAATTTTAGGTCCAGCATGGAAGAATAAGAAAATAGATGAGCAGACAAACTGGAACACTGCGTACCACGAGGCAGGACATACCCTTGTAGCATACTTTTCTAAAGAAGCTAGTCCTCTACATAAAGTTACAATTTTACCACGTGGCAGATCACTAGGACATGTAAGTCTGTAATATAGATACATTTAGCAAGTGTCTTTATGCCCCGTCCAAGACCCATGTGTCCTTACCTCCAAGATCAAGATGTTAAGTTTGCTATAAATAGCAGTTCATTTCACAAGAACAATATTAAGCAATTTGTTACTTTTATTCTCTTTTCTTTTCATAATACTTTTCTGCAATACTTAAGAAACCTTTTTAGGGGCATTCATCACTTTTGCGTGACGGCACCTGTTAAAACAAACTTTTATTTTATCCATTCACATTGAACCAAATGGTACAGTGTATTACCATGTATTAGAGGATAGTCCTTTGTGAAACAACTGTCTTTATGCTGCTGTTCTGTTACTAAAACATTTAATATGAAAATCCAGGAGTTCCCAGTTTGATTCTTAGGCAAAGACAAATTTCTCTGTGACATTTGATCCTGGACATTGAGTCTAATGAAACTTGTCTCTTACCACTGATTCATAAATCATATGTGATTAGTAGGACTCTTTTGTAATTGCTTGTTAGTTATCTTGGAAAGCTTTACTGACAGCCAGTATTTTACCAAATGAGTGCTGAAATCAGTATAAAAACTATACAAATATAGAAGTGAATGTGAAACAAGTCTGTAAACATATGGATAGCCACATATATATGAATATTCATGAAGTAACCACCATCACCCAGTCAGTCACATGCAGAGAAATTGGTAATTACTATATTATATCCATATAAGTGTACTACAGTCCCTGGTCTTAAACTGTTAATGTAGACATGTGTGAGATGTGGTAATTTTTCTGTCGTATTTTCAGACTGCATTTACTGAAGAGAAGGAGATGTACGGGTCAACAAAGGCTCAGATGTTGGCTAGAATAGATGTTGCTATGGGTGGCCGGGTAGGTGAAGAATTGGTGCATGGTTCGGAACAAGTTACAGATGGTAAATTTTTTTTTCTGTATACATACAGAAATTTTATTAAAACTTACTATAACAGATGATAAACAAAAAGCTTTTACTATACCTAGTCATAGCACACCTAGGCCTTTCTCAGCTTTTTCCAATAATCTGTAAATTTAATATTATTTTAAGATTAGAACTTGTTATTTATGATTGAAGAGATGCAATTAAAATAAGCTAAAGTTCTGGTTATCTTATTTTCCTGAAATTTTATTATAGGTGCATCATCAGATTTTCAAGGTGCCACCCAAATAGCTACAGCAATGGTGAAAAAATATGGCATGTCAGATAAGGTAAATATTTATTGCATTAATTCAGGATTTACATATTGATTTACATATAAAGAAATGATTGAATTTGAATATTTTTTAAGCTCCATTTTTCAAAGAAAGAAAAAGGCTAAGGTATTGTCATGACCCACACAGGGTGTGATCAGGTCTTTTATTCAAACTAACAATGTATATGTCAAACAATTCATAAATAATAAAGGTGTTAAATTACTGAATAGAACTATTACAATAACGACATATTCTTAACATGTACCTGCTTAAATAAAGATATCACAAAACAGTATTAATTTCAATAAATCATATTTTCGCAAATATTTCCGTGTGCAAACAGTCCACTTTTTGACATAAGCAAAATTTTTGTGATGCAAAATCCACTTTTACGGTATATGTTTTTGTATATTTACAGGTTGGTCCGAGAGTACATTCTGATGCTTTAATGGATGGGGGAAATTCATTTATACAAGTGAATGACATCAGTCCTAGTATGCAGCAAGTTATAGATTCTGAAATAGATAAAATATTAACTGTAAGTATGCCATGTAACATAGTTTGATACCTAAATGTTTAATCCAAATTGTTCCGTATGGCCTAATAAGCCTTATTGTCAACACTGACCATAAATCAGTGGTTTCTGAATGTTGTTGACTTCAAACCACTTGCCTGCACCGCTGTGGGTTCGAATCTTGACAGGGACTTTGAATTCTTTAATGTGAGGAAGCTATCCAGCTAGCTTATGGAACGTCGGTGGTTCTACTCTCGTGCCTGTTTGGCCAGAAACAATGTATAAAAGGGCACCTGAGTTCTTCATCTGCAACAACCACCAGTAAAGTTAGAAAGTCCCCATATTGCAAACCAATTAATATCCAAATAAACAGATAAACACTGGTTCTTATCCTCTGCTTGTTATATTTTGACATTAATTATCTGTATGTGAGAAAGCTATGTAGCCAGCCTACTGGAAGGTTGATGGTAGTATGGAGAAGATATCTAGCTCTTGAAACAGTAAAGTGTCTTAAGCTAGCTTGTTACTGAATGGCGATGGTTCAGTGAGGAGGCTTTGTGGCGAGTTGATGGAAAATTATTAAATAATTTGAATTGTTATATATTGTAAGGGTAAATCAAATAGGGCAGATTGTTAGGTATACATGTATATATGTCTGATATATCTATTGATTATATATTTTATTATAAATAGGAGTCCTATAAGCGAGCTAAGGACCTACTGACATCACATAAAAAAGAACATCAATTACTTGCTGAGGCATTAATGAAATATGAGACATTAGACAGTAAGGAAATAAAGGATGTGATTGAAGGTCGACCATTAAAACGGATGTCAACCGGCAAAATGTTTGACCCTAAAACTGTGATTCCAAAGCTAAGGAATGATGATACAAAAGGTGTACCGGACATCAGAGGTGGCGATAAAAACAAGTTATAGATACATTATAAATTTGATATATATAAAAAAGAGAACATACAAATGTTCTTCCAAAGAAATTTACAATGGAAGGCTTTAGTGTTAATGTTTCCGAAATAAATGGAACTGAGTATGTGTATAAACAATACATTTTCATTCCGACACTTCCATCATGTTTGGGGAAATGGAAGTAAAAATGTTTTCTTTATGTAAACCAAGGAAAAGATGATTGTTATAATTTTAAACAAGCCATAATGACAGTGGTTTATGTTATAGAATGAAACAACATGACTTGCCATAAGGTGTTTTCTTGTCAGTCATATATAATAGATATAGTTTCTGTTACATTGTAAACATTATGCAAGATAAGCGTCTCGGACCTTTGTTACGTTTTGTGTCAAGCACACCTGTTTAAAATGACTATACATCTGAACATGAAATGTTTGAAACATACAGATTAGATGTCCTGTAATAGAAGTGATGATTATGCTGGCCTACTATTTCGTTTGTGATTTTTTCTTTGCAGGCCAGAAGCCATATCAACAAAAGATAATGTGATATCAATAAAACTGTTTGATAAGTTAACTAGAAATAATATATCTGTATTAGATCTAGTTTAATCGTTTTAATTGAATTTTGATTAGTTTTACCTAAGAAATTCACAGGTACATAAATTAAGTGTTGCATTAATCATGGATATCCTTAAATGCAAGTAGCTATGTTTGTAGATCTGTGACATTAAGATGGAGCCAGACTAACCAACATGTTCTCAGAAATCATGTGCGATTAGTAGTCTTGTCACCTGCAGTGGAATTTTTCTATTAGTAACTGGTTAGTTATCCATTAAGCTGGTAAGAATTAGATAGACCGGCCTGATTGAGATACTGTTTACTGAACTGCTTCAAATTAGGAACTGGATAAATCTGTTACACTAGTACATGATATTGTTTTGAATCAATGAGGTGTTAAATTTTGTTTTATTATATGGAATTATTATAACGCTTGTTCTAATTGTGAAGATATTTTAATGGATATGTATTATTTTTAGATATTTTGTATAATTTTAGGTATATTCATTGGAATTAAGAGGGTTATGTATTCTCTTATAGTTTGTTTAAATGAGCCGCGTCACGACAAAAGCATTGTTATGCGTTTGCGACCAGCATGGATTCATGCTGTTTGCTTACAAACCCTATAACAAGTAGAGAAACTGATAGCGAACAGCATGGATCCTGATCAGACTGCGCGGATGCTCAGGCTGGTCTGGATCCATGCTGGTTGCAAACCTATTATGTTGGTTTTGTCGTGACGTGGCTCAAACTGTTTTATTGTAACATGGTGTTAGTATGTCTACATTTCCGCTAGTACTACATACTATATGTACATGTAAAATGATAATGTTTGTGTGGGACCTCTATTACTGGCATAATATAGCATGTGGCATGTTACGTTTTTATCAATTTCATTTTGTTGAGCTGTTAAAATACAAAGTAAGTGCCTTCTTGTAGTTTATTGTTATATGATATTTTGTCATTTAAATGCTTTAATATTTAATCACCCAAGCTGTGGCTCTGGTGATTAAATACGTTTTTAGCTCACCTGTCACAAAGTGACAGGGTGAGCTTTTGTGATCGCTTTTCATCCGGCGTCCGTCCGTCCGTCGTCCGTCCGTAAACTTTTGCTTTAAATGACATCTCCTCATAAACCACTGAGCCAATTTCATCCAAACTTCACAGGAATGTTCCTTTGGTGGTCACCTTTAAAACTTGTTCAAAGAATATAATTCCATGCAGAACTCTGGTTGCCATGGCAACCGAAAGAAAAATCTTAAAATATCTTCTTTTAAACAACCCTAAGAGCTAGAGCTTAGATATTTGGCATGAATCATCTTCTAATGAGTGTCTACCAAGTTTGTTCAAATAAAAGCCCTGGGGTCAAAATTGGCCCTGCCCCAGGGGGTCATTGATTTTCCCTATATGCATATAGTAAAAACTTAAAAAATATTCTTTTAAAGAACCCAAAGAGCTAGAGCTAAGATATTTGGCATGAAACATCTTCTAGTGAGTGTCTACCAAGTTTGTTCAAATAAAAGCCCTGGGGCCAAAATTGGCCCCGCCCCAGGGGGTCATAGATTTTCCCTATATGCATATAGTAAAAACTTAAAAAAATCTTTTTTTAAAGAACCCAAAGAGCTAGAGCTAAGATATTTGGCATGAAACATCTTCTAGTGAGTGTCTACCAAGTTTGTTCAAATAAAAGCCCTGGGGTCAAAATTGGCCCAGCCCGGGGGTGGGGGGGGTCATTGATTTTTCCTATATGCATATAGTAAAAACTTAAAATATCTTCTTTTAAAGAACTGTAAGAGCTAGAGCTTAGATATTTGGCATGAAACATCTTCTTGTGCATGTCTACCAAGTTTGTTCAAATAAAAGCCCTGGGGTCAAAATTGGCCCCGCCCAGGGGGTCATTGATTTCCCTATATGCATATAGTAAAAACTTAAAAAATCTTCTTTTAAAGAACCCAAAGAGCTAGAGCTAAGATATTTGGCATGAAACATCTTCTAGTGAGTGTCTACCAAGTTTGTTCAAATAAAAGCCCTGGGGTCAAAATTGGCCCCGCCCGGGGGGGGGGGGGGTCATTGATTTTCCCTATATGCATAAAGTAAAATCTTAAAAAATCTTCTTTTAAAGAACCGTAAGAGCTAGAGCTTAGATATTTGGCATGAAACATCTTCTTGTGCATGGACACAAGTTTGTTCAAATAAAAGCCCTGGGGTCAAAATTGGCCCCGCCCCAGGGGGTCATTGATTTTCCCTATATGCATATAGTAAAAAATCTTCTTTTAAAGAACCCAAAGAGCTAGAGCTAAGATATTTAGCATGAAACATCTTTTAATGAGTGTCTACCAAATTTGTTCAAATAAAGCCCTGAGGTCAAAATTGGCACCGCCCCGGGGGGTCATTGATTTTCCCTATATGCATAAAGTAAAAACTTAAAAAATCTTCTTTTAAAGAACCGTAAGAGCTAGAGCTTAGATATTTGGCATGAAACATCTTCTAGGGAATGTCTACCAAGTTTGTTCAAATAAAAGCCCTGGGTTCAAAACTGGCCCCGCCCCAGGGGGTCATTGATTTTCCTTATATGTGTATAGCAAAAACTTAAAAATCTTCTTTGAAAAAACCCAAATAGCTAGAGTTTAGATATTAAGCATGAAACATCTTTAAGTAAATATCTACAAAATTTGTTCAAATGAAAGCCCTGGGGTCAAAACTGGCCCTGCCCCAGGGGTGTCATTGTTTTTAACTATATGTGTATAGTAAAAACTTAAAAAATCTTCTTTTAAAAAACCCAATGAGCTAGAACTTAGATGTTTAGCATGAAACATCTTCTTATGGGTGTCTACCAAGTCTGTTCAAATAAACAAATAAAAGCCCTTGGGTAAAAATTGGCATGGGGGGATGGGGGGGCTATATACAGGTGAGCGACCCCAGGGCCATCATGGCCCTCTTGTTTACATGATATAACAATATATCATAAGAAGGTATTAGTTATGAGAGACGAGGGTGTTTTTATAAGATGACTTGTGTATCAAACTTTAGTCTAGTCCATCATGTACTGTTTATTTCAGTATAATGAGTTGTTTGAATGTAACGGCTCACTTAGTTCCTGAAGATGAACAAATGAAGTATAATGGAATGATTAAAAGAAAGAAAAAATAAACAGGCATTTCTCTTTAATACCAGTCAATTTAAGCAACAGTATTTTTTTATTGATAATACAAAGACGTGGATAGGATGAGCGTTAAGAACACAGTAGGACATTGTCTTTACCTTATACACATAGAAAAAAATGGGTAAATTTGGTGTTCTACTTTGATATCAGAGTGTATCTTGTCCGGATTGGGGTGTAAACCTCCATTTTATTAATCAGTACTGGGCACTTTCTATTTCATATTCGGATCTACTGAATCTATTGCCTTTGACAGAGGAGTTTCTTGTGAGTCTGTATCGCAGAGTAATACCTTGTAGTTGTTTTTGACACCAAATTTATTCACCTTTGTAGAAAGTCTTGTTAACTTTTATCAGTAGGTCAGTATGGTCTATGACTTGATATAGCATAGTATCAGATGAGTAGTTTTCGTTAGATCAAATTGTGCCCGGTACATGTATACTAGCCTAAGGTATACAAAACTATTCATTATGTTTGTTAATTGTATGTCATGTTTTAATTTTGATTGCATTTATGCAACAGCATTTCACTTTGTTTTTAATAAAAGACATGTAAATGGTATATGTTTGTGTTTTAATTTTTCCTTACATAACATAGTTTTACTTGTCGTTATATTCAAGAAGAAATCATCCAACCAAGTGCATGTCTATATAAATTATTATAACAACAATTTCTGACGATTGCACAACATAATTTATATGGATATAAGTTTTTGACTGGGTAGGGGTACGAGGGTCAGCTGTAAATTTCATGGATGGCGTTATTAACGGCAATAATTATAAACGTTTTATGTACATGTAATTTAACATAGCAGAGCCAAGTACAGACAAATAACTACATGGATCCAACATATATCTAGGAAGCATTTCACGCGTTTTAACATCGACGTCACACATAGTCAAAGTTCCTGTCCCCACATATGCATTTGCTGTGTGTCTCCGATTGTTACGAAAATATATCATATCAGCTATCTCGAGGGTTGTTTTTATTTAAATGCACACTTTTTAGCTCACCTGTCACAAAGTCGCTTTTCGTCCTGCGTCCGTCCGTAAAAATTTTACTTTAAATGACATCTCCTCATAAACCGCTACGCCAATGTCATCCAAACTTCATAGGAATGTTCCTTTGGTAGTCAACTTAAAAAAATTGTTCAAAGAATTTAATTCCAAGCAAAACTCTGGTTGTCATGGCAACCGAAAGAAAAAACTTATAATATCTTCTTTTAGAAAAGAGCTAGAGCTTAAATATTTGGCATGAAACATCATCTAGTCATTGTCTACCAAGTTTGTTCACATCAAAGCCCCTGGGTTAAAATTGGCCCCACCCGGGGGCCTATGTACAGGCCGGTGAGCGATTTAAGGCCAATCATGACATTTTAGCGTTATTCCTGAAGTCCGGTATATATTTTATATTTTCAAAGGAATTTTTTCTAAGTGTGACGAATCGCTGACCTCCGTCCGTCCGTACCTCCGTCCGTCCACACGTTCTTTAATCAACATCTAAACATTTCGGCCAATATCATAAAAACTTCACAGAGTGTTCCTTGACTGATCCGCTTTCATTTTCTAATGTTGTTTATTTTGAACTAAAAATAACTTAATTATATAAAGTTGGGTGATGTTGACGTAGGCAATAAACAACTTTCTATTTATCGCTGTAAAAATAATTATATCTTTTGTGGTAAACATTTTTGTCCTTTTCACCTCTAAAGTTCAGTATTTGGTTGACAAATAGATCACATGTTGAGATTCTAATTTACCCTCGCATCCTTCCCTAGTTGTGTGTTATTTGTATACATAATTGTACAATAATGTATTTATATAGGTTATATTACCTTAATGTTTAAATATTTAAAATATTTGATGTTGATGAATATTACTACTGTAATGATCATTGTGCTAGACAAAACCATTTTGATTGAGTTTGTTGATGAATCAAATTGTCTTATTTGTATTTGATAATATGAATGTGGAACATGTGATCTCAGTTAACCTAATTATATATTATATCAAGACATACGTTTCTCTTGGGTTTTCTTGTAAATGAGAACTTATATTAGGTCCACTCCCATATAAAACAAAATAATAAATTTTAGAATTAATTTTGTCAAAAACAAATTTTGACAATATTTCCCAGGACGTACAGTCTTACAGAGAGCCGGAAGGGATTTATGGTGATGTCATTGACATTCATAGAAGTATCTCTATGTACCTTTACGATAATTATTTTATCTTATGATATGTACAATCATTTGTTTATTTTAGCGACCTACGTCATATTATAATTAATGGTTAAAAACAAGGTTTGGTTGTCTTTTTTACGACGATTTCATCACATTTTTGGTCACATGACATCGGTCGGTTCAGGTACCTAACTGGGTTTCCTCGATAACTAACCATTAATTATCAATTATCCACAAATGATTACTGAGTCAGAGTTGAGAGACAATGGCACTAAGACTTAATGTCCGGTATCAATTATCAACTCCGAAAAAAATATCTGAAATTACTTCCTTTACTGATTAAAAGAGGTACACTCACTAAATGGTTTTTGTACGCATGAAAATTTATAAAAAAAAGTTTCATATTTAATAGTAATATTTCGTAACAACGTGAGAATTATTATAATTTTAAAGAAACGTGCGATTCACATTTTTTTTCATACGGAAATGGTACGACCGGACACAGGATTTATTCTAGATAATCAATTTACGTAGATCACATTGTGCGTCACGTGAAGTTGTTTACATCTTGAAAATTGTGAAAATTTATCTAGTTGGAAAGATTAAAAGGTGAGAGATTGAGAATTACTTTGTAGATATTGTAGTATATATATATAAATGTTATTTGCTCCAGTCATACGGGTATTAAGCTTTTATTTGTGGATTTTACAATAATTTATGCGCCCGGTTACATAACTAATGTATGTATATACTACAGTTGTTTAGGCAGTAGCGGATTTTAGGGTATAGCGGATAACATGGCAGTAACAATGCTCCTTTCCATCAAATATGCCTTTTTCAAAATAATACAATTATACCATCAAAAAGAGTGATATATTTGCCATCCGTGGCTAATTTTGTTTTATTTATTTCAAATTGCACAGCGAGTTTTTCTTACATAAATCAGAACGAGGTAACCGGATGTTGTCACCGTCAGACTGTTTATAAGCGCTTCCAAAAGAAATAAACAAAAAACTATTGATCAACACCAAGTAAAGTAATGAAATATTGACATGATTTGGTGTAAAAATCATTTGTTTATAATTTTGCAAAAGCTTTTACAGATATAACGCCTACTGACACTAAAAATTATTGAAAATGAATAGCAAGTGCTTCTGTCAGTAACGGATTTTACATCTGGGGGTGGTCTCAAAATTTATTTTATGTGTCAAAACGCCGTCAAAAGTGGATTAAAAATAGACTTTAACAAAAAATTATCCCAGTTTTAATGGTATAATATTATTTATTCTATCTTTTTATAATTTAAACTCAGTTGTATTGATACTTTGAATATACCATCATTATTAACTCTTCTTTCAGCTAGATTATAAGATTAATAATTGCTTTAATGTAAAACAGACCTCTTTTTCATTGAACTTTGTTGTTTCATTTTTCATACTTAATACACATGCTCAGCTCAAGTTTATTGCAATTTCTTTTGTAATTTATGTATTCAGAATATATAGTTTACTTTTTAATTCATCTATACAGATCTTAGGAAATATTGTTTTTATTTGTTAAATTGCGACATATTATACAGTTATCATTGCTTGTATACTGTGATGTTACAAAATAAATAAATAATTTTTAAATAAATAAAGCTATTTACTATGGTTGATACAATTATAGATTTTTTAAAGAAATAACTATGGTAAACTAGCTATAGCTATGTTCAAACTATTACATGTCACAGTTGCATCATAAGTTGTTGACCAGATATTTATTTATATATTTATTGAAATATAAAAATTTGAAAGATTACTATCAAATGTAACATTTTTCATTCCAGTAACCCCAAAACATGTTTCTGTGACATGTACTTTGTAAATACTAAATTTAGAACGTTTTGAGACTCGCCCTCATTGACCTTCACCTACCTATCCCATACTCCCCAAAGCTATCCACTACTACCTGAACTATATGCCGAACATAAACAAAGAGTACTACATGTAATGTCAAAGATACTGCTAAAAATATTTTATTTTAAAAAGGGAAGTAGTTTGACTTCTGAATGGCATCAATTTGATTTTCTGAATATTATTATTAAAGACATAAGCAGCGCCGATCTCCTTAGCTATCCGCTACTGCCTAAACAACTGTATACTGTATAATATAGGCCCTATATATCAGTACATGTATCGAGTAAGTACACCGATATCGTAGAGCCCCGGGCATACTCCCGAAATAAATTATATCATAATATAAATCTGATAATTTAAATTGCATGTAACTGACTGATTTTTCTAACTAAATTGGGAAAAGGCCGTAGCTTTTTGATTTTAATAAGAAAAAACTATCGCTATGTAAGAAGTAAAAAAGCTGGTGTAAGTTATTTTTTTTTGGAAAATTACGATTGGTATGAGATCTTGTATGGACCTCTGTTAAATGTGAATAAAAATCGCTGTGGTGTTATGTAATAAATTTTGTCAACAAGTTTGACAATATCTCGCAGTTCTTTCCACAGGAACTTGAATTTCTATCAATATATATATATAAAGCCATGGAGGTCATGCAATTTGTTGGGCTACTTATTTTCGTTGTTAACTTAAATGTCCACTGATGGTAAATATAGACATATTAGTCTAAATTCATTATAATAATGTTATTGAGTAAATTCTACACACGCATCTATGTCATTCCGGTCGTACACGGAAACCGGCTCGTGTTTAAATAAGGTCTTCAATAAGATGTAAGGTCTTTCTCCACCAGTAAAGCCGGAAAGTCACCGTATGACCGTGCAATGTCTGTGTGAATTAGGCCTAAAATCCTACATACAAACAAAGAAACAAAGTTAATCCTTGTACTATTTCACTTTTAACTTGCTGATCTAACAGGTTTATGTACATAAAATCAGGTACAGATTCACTCGGGGTTTTCTCATTAAATAGAAATACCCTGATTAGCTTATCATATTTATATTAAGTATATTATATAATTATTATATAAGAGAGAGTATTGGTGTGTGTCTATGTGAGCGGGGAGGAAATGGGAGTAAGATACGACTACATGTATGACTAAATAAGTAGTGTCTCGGTTTGCATATTTAGCATAAATTAGTTTATTTTGTCTCACTTTCAGCGAACAATATAAAGATCATTATGACGTCACACAGTGCTGGGAAGATGGCGTTGATTCTCATAGGGTTTCTGTGGTACGCGGTTACATTAGTTATTTCCTACATGTCCTCTAACAACGCCATTGATATTGGTAAGTAGGCTTCATCTATAAGTTATAACCTTTCTAGATATTAAAAGTAAGAATTAAACAAAACATAAGCTAGTATAATGGTTCTCATACTAATATTCTTTAGAAAATATTTGATTTGAATTACTAAAGCCTATACTCCTGACTTCAAACCACTTGCCCCTCACCGCTGTGGGTTCGAATCCCGACAGGAACTTTGGATTCTTTCATATGAGGAAGCTATCCAGCTAGCTTACGGAACGCCGGTGGTACTACTCAGGTGCCCGTTCGTGCCTGAAGTAATGCACGGAAGAGTACGTGAGGTCTTCTTCCACCAGTAAATCTGGAAGTCGCCTTATGACCTATACTGTGTCGGTGTGACGTAAAACCCAGTCAAACAAACAAGCAAACTATACTCCTCATATTTCACTTTCATAATTGCTACATATCTTCTGGGATGTACTATAACGTATCGTATGTTCCAGATATCTTGTAAAATCCGCCCAGTGGATATTCATTCGATTTCGGAATCAATAGTTTTTTTTTAAATGTTTGGCATACTAATTAGATAATTACCAATTTAATTCATGTCCTTTAAGGGTAGAAATACCTTTTTTCGGATCGATGCTTGATACCTTGTATACGTTTTCTTGTTTTATCATATCCTTGGTAAGTTAATAACTAATTTCAGGAATATGTGTGTAAGATGATATAGCTGGATTAGCTGAGATTGAAAATATTTTAAGATGTATGCATTTGTTTATTTTAGGAATATTCGAAAACAAAACTGGCGATATCTCGGACAAATTTTACCTGACCATCACTCCAGCTGGATGGACATTCGGACTGATATGGGCAATTATATACACTTACCAGCTAGTATGGTATGTGTACGCCTTGACCACCATCTGCAGACGAGATAACGAGGGGAACTACTTGTACACACTGCCATATTTACCGTCTGCATTTTACATAGTGTTCATGGTCAACAATGTAGTTCTTGTTGCATGGCTGGTGTTATGGGATAGGCAATGGGTCCAATGGTCACTGCTGGATATTATTTTTGCACCGGCTACTCTATACGTATGTCTGTTCATCTCTTATAAATACCTGTACGACAATATCGAGGTCCTAAAACGTAGAGGTGCAGGCAAGGAATTATGGTTCGTGCGCGTATTGATACATAATGGTATGTCTTTCTTCGCCACGTGGGTATCCATAGCAACGCTGCTAAATTTCGGTATAGTTTTAACATACATTTGGTCAGTTGAATTGCAGTTGTCCTCAACCATCGTCCTTGCCATCTTATCGGCCGAAATTGTCACCTACTTTGTCATTGATACATGCTTTATTGATAAGTACATCCGCTATACAGTTACTCCGTATATTGTCCTGGTTGTCGCCCTTACCGGAAGTATAACCAAGAATTTTGACCTTGACACCAACAACCGCAACTCGATATTCACTGTGGTAATGTTGGCAGTGAGCAGTTTGTTGTTACTGACGAAACTAATCCTTGTCGTCAGACGACACAGAAGGTTTCCGATTGAAGGAAATGTCAATGATGACGTCAAGGGAACATTAGCTTAGATTATTGTAATTTGTATACGACTATTCTGTCAATGTGACCAGATTTATTTACAAAACGGCATTATATAGATTGTATGTTTTTCTTTTGTTTTGTTTTTTCTCATTGGTAATATTTTCATGGGCATTTTTTTAATTTGAGAAGGGTCTTTTAAATGTATTGAAAGACCCAAATTAATTTATGAGTTATGACTAGCTCTTTCTCCATTTAACTGAATTATGTTGATATTTTCAAGGGTATTATCCGAGAAGTCAATCCGGATGTACGGGTAAACATTTTATTCCGTTACATGTATGATATTTGTAGTATTATATTTTTACAATGTATAGTCATGATGAAGTAGTATTTAACAGAATAAAGGAATCTCGTTCACCTGTTCTAATTATTTATCATTATTTAGAATCTACCTCAGTTTACAATTATGAAGTTCAAGGTGCTAAAATTACGACAGCTTTTTTTACAATTTTTTATAAGTTTTTATATTTGTATATATTTGTACATAATTTAATTGTGTTAATTAAGCATTTCTACATGTATGTGCATTTTATTTGACATTGTCGGTATGCATATTATAAACAGTTTTCTTACACTATTGATAATGTCGATATAGAATTTAGTTTTGAAATTTGATGAACAAAAACCATAGCATCATGCAACCGTTTCATTATTTTTTCCTTTCTAAATTAAAAAAAAACCTGCTGAATTTGTGTAATGGATTTGATTAGCCTTGAATTTTGAGCAGTGCATATTTCCAAAAATTATAATATTATATTAAGCTACCAACAGTATAGAGCGTGGTCAGACTACATGGATGTGACGACTGCCCTGGCTCTATATACTGGCGACAAAGACTAATCTTTCTATAACAGTAGGTAAGAAGTAAATTAATACATGTTTGCCTGAAGGAACACTGCCGTATGAGAACAGACCAGGTCGAACTGACAGCATGCCGCATTGACCTTCTGGTTAACCTGTTAAGTTTTCACTTCATAATTTCTCAAAATAGCATAATAAATAATCATTTACAAATTTAAAATGCTGAACTCAATAATTAAAACCGGGAAAATGGTTTGACTATTTATGATAAATTTAAGCTGAACATGTAACATGCGTTTACTTAAAGAGTAATTTAATATACAGTAGCTTGTGTTATGCAAAGACGTTTCAATTCTAGTAATCACTAACACTATAATTTACATATTTTTAGTAAAACGATAAAAAAAATAATAATCGAGGTTAATTTCGCAAGATATTTGATAAAAAAATACCGAAATGACTTTATATTTGTGTGTGTTGATAATGAAAAAGATAGGCCACCTGTATAAAGTTTGATGGTTTCATAAAAAACTTTCAATGAATATTGTTTATGTGTGATCACCCGGTATGATGAAACAAGGAACAATTTTTTTGTATATGTGTAGTACACATTTAGTAATTCACTCTGTTTTGTTATTGTTACATTATTTACATTATTAATTGTAATTAGGGTATACATATATTTAGGTTTTTTTTGTTATTTTTGTTCTATTGAAAAAAAATATTGTAAATATTTTGTAGTTCTTTTTGTGCCTGTCATGTTTACAGTATACACCTTTGTATATGATTGTTTCTGAATGATTCCTGTACAAATGTTAAGGTATTTTCAATCAGTATTTTCAATTTCACTAGTCAGTCCTTCACAGGAGGGGTTGAAACAGTCAGCATGAAAAGTTGATGTTGCATTTCCATTTGATTTGTTTTGTGATTCTGGTCAGTTTATTGTATTTATATTTTCTGAATTTTCATACATAACTACATTGTTTTACCGAGTAATTTATTACGAAAATAGGTATTGTTTAAGCCTTTTCTTTTATGATATGTTCTGACATAGTGTCACTACTCGGGCATATTTTACTGATTTTCATGGTTGTTCAGGTGACCTAGTGGTTAGCAGGTCTACCTTCCAACCCAGGGATCGTAGGTCTGAACACTTCTAGTGTCATGATCGTATTTCATCCTATGTAAGGGAACGGACTCGATCTATTTTCAAGTTTGCTTAATTTGCAAAGGAACTAAAATAAATGTTTTAACAAAATATATTGTTTGACGTTTGTTGATGAAAAGGCATGATTGTAAAATCAAATTGATCGTTTATTAATATAATTCTCGTAATAAAAGATCTGTGTTCAATTACGTAATGTAGAACAAACATGTAGCTATTATATATTTATATATTTATATTATTAAAAGTTTACGCCGTCATATTTGTTTGGCTTGTCTTTATACCAAAACAAAAATACAAAAACGTATTTGATGTCACATATAATTATTGTTGGGAGCATAGTAGTTTTTGTCTAAAATCTGAGAGATAAAAACATGTTTTTGAAGCCCAACAGGTAACTCCGTTTATTGTCCCTATTTCAGGTAAAATCTCCTTATTAAATTATACGATTAATGTAGTAACAGGTGGTCTCAGTTAATATAGAGAAAACCAAGGTTGTAGTGTTGTAAAACAGGGAGAACGATGGCATGTAAGTAAGCATGTTTACATAAAGGAAGAGTTCAACACCAGTGATAACTTACATAATATCAAATCGAAAAAAAAATACGTCAATCACGTTATAAATGTGAATTTATAATTTCTTAAGTCTTTCTCAAACATATATTATTAGATTATTCTAACCTGTCGGCTCGTGTAGCAATTATTTTAATCCGTTTGTCTTAGAAACAGTTTTGAGATTAATATCAACAACAAAAATAACAGTTATCATAACCACTGTATGAACACGTCTGCGGATGTTTCTAAATTCAAATTCAACCATTTTATTTTAATTTTAAATAGTGAATACTGCTTACGCCGGTGCTTAGGGTGTGAACGGTAACTTACACTTTCAAATATACTGTTCATGAGCAGACTCAACCCGAGTTGGCAAAATTTTCAATTTTTGTCGTTTTTAGGCGTTCTTTAGGTATTCCGTTTTCTCTATGTTAATACTTTACAGCAAACATTATTTTTCAATCTACATTACACATTACGTTAACTGAAACAACGACAAATTCATGTCCTTGCTTAGAAAATATGTACTTTAGTTACCCGCATCCACTGTCTGTCTAGAACATGCTCGTTGACTGGCTCATTTTTCTTGCTTTACTCAAAGAAAACGATAGAAAAGTCATATTAAGATGCTCGTACATTAGTTACTTTTTTTCTTGGGTTTAATATTGTGACGACAGAGAACATGTTTTTATTTTGCCAATGAAGAACATTATTTAAAGCACTCGGTTATCTGTTTTATATTCTGGAGAAACGCCTCTGCATACAAATAAGATAGCGTCATGTTTCCATGCTCTTTCTATTTCTAATCTACAGACGGATTGATAACAAGATTCCAATCTCCGTAAATTATCACATTGTCATTACCAATTTCAAATATTTTTAAGTCGGTTTATCATCATTTGGACGGAATAAATTAACGGGAGTAAGTCTGCAATTTGGCATTAACATATGAAGAATAAGATAATTCCCTTTTTCGTATGTGTATGTATTTTCTACTTTTTGTAAACAATTTCTAAACAAATTCATTACTCCTCAACTTTTACGTTTGCATAATAGGCGTCATATACCCATTCATTTTTTAGCAAAGGACTTTTTCTGAATCTGAACATCTTGCAGACATTTAATATTGTAATCGGTCTTTGTAAAATAATGAAATATGGCACGACGTTTTGTGAGAATTTCCCAGTCCTTTGCAGTTTTGAGAGTGTATGGTTAAATCATCACCTATTAGGTAAAAGAAAAACACACTTTTAAACAACATAAAAAATATTAACTTAGACATGTTAGAATTTTACAGCCGTTACATAAACCACTTTGAGGCGGCTTTTCATATTAAATGACTGAGATTACGAAGAAAATATTTAAAAGTTTCATTTAAAATACATCTTTGTCACTAATAAAGCTGAATTATGGATGGATACAACATTATTATTTAGCTGCATAAGAATAATTGGAATCCAAAATGTACAGACAGACAATAGGTGATCACAATTACAAAGCTTTTAAGTTATCTTTGTGAGCTTTACCATATCTTTTCTAAATTAGGGTGCATGTACAGTACGTAAAAGAGTCACACAAAAAAAAACAGAAACACGAGATATATTTTTATTGCACTGCTATTGTATTGTTTTAATCCATGGCAAATTATTTCATTTTATTTCACTGTAAATGTTTTCTGTTCAGCCAGTTGTTTTCATTTTTATTCCAAGCATAACTGATCTGCTTTGAGTTATGGCATCGTTAATATCCTTGTCCTTGACTCCTCTCCCATTCTTTTTACACCAGCTTGACACATATCCTGAAACACAAACAGTCATCAGTAAAACATTATATTATTGTTTCTTGTCATAATGTATGCAGTTATAATTATACATGCATTTAAACTATAATTCATTACAACCAACCTTAGTGTTACAAATTTACTATCAAACTTAATGCAAAATTATTTAATTTATTTGAAATATATTTTTATTGTTTAAATGTATCCAAAAGTTACTTACCTGAATTTTTATGATGTTGGTACACAAATGTATTTATCTTCTTGTCCAAGGTCATAATGTAGCATCAGGGGCGGATACAGAACATGGTTTCCTGGGGGGGCTGACATATGGGTGGAATATTTTGACAAAAATAATGCAACCGTCGAAACTTGTGCATGTTTGAAGATAGGGTCAATACCTTGTTCATGTAACAAAGATTGTAATTTATGTGTTTTATAGCTCATCTTATGAGTGGCAATGTACTTTTGCTTGTATATGTGTATACTAATATTTTCGTAAATACTTTTTTATATATTTTTATGATATGGAATTAAGAAAAATATCTGTAATTGGGGTGGGCCTGGGAGGGGTGTCCCCTCCCATAGACTGAGAAAATTTTGAAATATGAGGTTAAAAATGGTGTTATTTCCTGGACTTTCTAGTGCTGTTTATAATAAATTGTGGATGGTTTTACAGGTTAGTGTTTACAAGGTATTTCAAATAGAATTCCCCTGGTGTTTAGTATTAAGCATTTACAAAATAACAGCACACTAACCAATGTTTGCGCGACTGTTGATAAAAATAATTTTTAAACACTTGATCAATGTACTCATCTGAATAATAGAAGATTTTCCAAAGTAAAGTGATATTATTAAAGTACTGCCTTTCAATTGTAAAAAAAAATAATTTCAAACACATATATTCAATAAGAATTTTTTCAATCAATGAATCCATTTTAGATACTAAAGAGGTCAGTACAATTTAAATTTAATTTTAAAAAATATAACTGCAATAAAAAAGTTATTAAAAGCAAATGACCAATCAATTCATCTGATTAAAAATCTTAGAAAAACTAGTTATTATTTAATACGCTATTCATATAGTATAATCTTTATAACACTGGTCACCCTTTTAATTTACAAATAATAATTTTCAATTTCTTAATCATAGGGCTTTTGCAAAGAAAAATGAAAGACAAAGATGGTAAAATATGGTGTGCAATGTAACACATCTATTTGCCACTATCTGTGACTATTAATTTCATTAGACCTTTGGAAAGTAATACAAGAGCGATCAGTAATCACATGTGTCGCCTCATGATGGCCAATTTCATGTTGGGACAAATTTTGTGACAGACGGACAGACAGACGGACATTGCACAACTAGAATTGGTATTGATCATTCCTGTAAAGTTTGGATAAAATTGCACCAGTAGTTTATGAGAAGTAGTCCGGACAAGCTTTTGCGTATCTGGAAACACACAGAAAAAACACCGTTTTATCAAAGGGCCATAACTCGGCCAAAAATCATTCAACCAGAAAACCCGTGCAATATTCGCAAGGACTTGAGCTACAGATCAATCCTGTAAAGTTTCATTGAAATTGCATTAGTGGTATAAGAGAAGTAGTCCGGACAAACTTTAAAAATAAAAATTATTAAAGGGCCATAACTCTGACAAAAATCATTGAACCGGAAAATGCTGACAATATGCACAACTAGACTTGGTACTGATAATTCCTGTAAAGTTTGGATGAAATTGCACTAGTAGTTTATGAGTAGTAGTCCGGACAAGCTTTTGTGTATCTGGCAACACACAGAAAAAAACACCTTTTTATCAAAGGGCCATAACTCGGCCAAAAATCATTCAACTGGAAAACCCGTGCAATATGCGCAAGGACTTGAGCTACAGATGAATCCTGTAAAGTTTCATTGAAATTGCATTAGTGGTATAAGAGAAGTAGTCCGGACAAACTTTAAAATTAAAAATTATTAAAGGGCCATAACTCTGACAAAAATCATTGAACCGGAAAATGCTGACAATATGCACAACTAGACTTGGTACTGATCATTCCTGTAAAGTTTGGATGAAATTGCACCAGTAGTTTATGAGGAGTAGTCCGGACAAGTTTTGTGACGGACGGACGGACAGACAGACAGACGGACAGACAGACGACGGAGAAGTGATCCCTATATGTCGCCACTACTCCGTAGAGGCGACACAAAAACCAATCAATTATGCAGTTTAAACATTGAAGTCATTCAAGCATGTTGATAGATAAAGATCTCTGCCAAGCCCCCAGGCAGGAGATTAACAACTGGATGACAGCAATTTATGTTTTGATAAGGCCATTAAGGGAGAACACTACAGGCAATAGAGTTTGAAACTGACAAAAATATTTTCCAGCCCAGCTGGTAAACGTATCTTTGGGCCAAGCTGGGGGGGGGGGGGGGCTGCAGCCCTGAAGCCCATGCCTGAATCCGCCACTGAGCATTCAAAATTCCTTTACAACTGAGCATATCCAGATTATTGTCATTTTCATTCACAAGGCTAAGTCTTAATTTTTTTTCTTTGAAAAATTCAAAAATATTCAATCCTTACACTTTAAACAAAATATTATCTCAAAAATTGCTTATATATTATCACCACAATTTTTAACTATCAATAAAATCCTTTGTTATTTGCTTTATTTCCACTGTCTCAGCTTCTGCTGACCCATATTTCCTAGCTAGATTTCGAATTATGGACAAGTCCATGATATGATGGTAAACAGGGATAATCCAACCCATCGTTTTATTTTCACAATTATATAAACATACCAGAAAATAAATGGAAAAAGAATCCAAAATTCATAATAAATATTCAAAAATATTCAATCCTTACACTTTAAACAAAATATTATCTCAAAAATTGCTTATATATTATCACCACAATTTTTAACTATCAA